CTCCTCATTGTCATCTTATGCAAAAAGAACTAGTTCCAAATCAGTCATAAGCATTTAGCAAGCTCTTGAAGAAATTATCTTGCTCATAATGGGAAAAAAACCAACACCTTAACATCCACCTTATGAACATCACAGTTCCTCAGACAAGACTCAAGACAACCTCAAGTAATTGTATTTGCACTGATGACCAACATATGGTAGTCAATGAGTACACAGCTAGACAAAAATATTTTGCTTGTGTAAAAGCAACTTCAAAGGCTCTCCATTTCTCTTAGTAGCCCATTTCAACTTAAGAAAAAGAATGTCAACATATAAAAAGGGAGTAATTTTATCACACAATCCAGCTTTATACATTATATGATCAACACGTCAGAACAGATGTTGCAGGCACACTTGCATGAAAAGCCATGATGATATTTCTTAATGTCCTGAATAATTTTATTAACTCTGACAAAGAGTTTGTTTTCAGAGCTGTAACAACTCTGCCTGACTAAGTGAGCATATATACATTTCTAGGTAGACAGCAAAGGTTCATGCACGTACCTGAGAGGGGAAAACCTAAGGCTGGGTATCCAATTAACTCTAAAAACTCCTGCTTCTGAAAGTAGGGTAATTGTATGCATTATAGCTACAGACAGTTTGTATAGGTATTTCCCAAATGGAGTTCATTCTGTGACAATACTTAAAGGATACCAGAGCTCCTTTTTCAATCATGTTAAGCTTTAAAAAGTCATATACAGAATAGTTTTTCTGTAGCATAATTAAACATTAAACTATAAGAAGACTTGACCTAAAACTCATGGAACATTTCCATGCACAGAGAATACAATATTTGGCTGGTAAACAATGCAGAAACACTGCATTTCAGTTTCACTGAAATTTTCACTGAGAACTTGAAAATGTCTAAAACAGGAACTCATTAACAAGCCTATTACTGGTGCCCCATGACAATCTAATCACCTAACAAGATTTACAAAGGAGATTTATGGATCCTCCAGCCCATACATGATGGTAGGTATTTGTACATGAGACAGTAGGAATTTTTTTTATGATTTGAAGGTGAAGCAAATTTATCTTCTAATGGTTTCTACACTAATGAGAAGTATACCAAATTCTCAGAATGCATGGAAATATTGTATTTTTTTTAATCTTGAACTGACTACAGAAAACGCTCAAATAAATTCATGTGTTATATACTACTCAACCCTGCATAAGGAGCAATGAAATTATTCACATCTTTCTACTTCATAACATATAGCAATGAAAAAAAGGCAGAGAGCAGAAAACTGCTACTTTGTTTCACTACTTCTGAGGTGTTAGGAGGTATTTTCACAACAGCCCAGGTACAGTTAAACACACAGAGAGGAATGTTTACCAAGCAGGTGTCTTAGATCAACGTCCACTTTGAATGCACACAGCTGAAGCGATCAGATTTAAAACCAGACAATCAGTGCATTTCAGGGTGCTCTGCAATGCTGCCTTGAACATCTAGTCAACTGCAAGTAAGTACACCTGAGTCAACAGGGGAGCGGTGCTCAAACCTTCTTAAAATCCCAGCTGACTTCAGGCACACAAAAATGCATGGGCAAGATCTTCCCTTTTTACTGATTTGATCTAGAAAAGTATTAAAATGATCTGACTTTCATTTTTTCCAAACTCAATTTTGTAGAAGAGCAGACTATTCCAGGAAGGAAGATAATAGGCAAATGTAGTTACTGAAAACTTAGTTTTCTCATTTATATCTTCAAACAAATTATAAAAAAATGCACACAAGGCTTTACTCAAGTAAATGCACCTGGTTAATGTATAATTTAAAGAATTTTATTAGAAGAAATATTACAGGCAGTATAGAAAGAATATAGGCCACTAGCCCATTTTTAGAGTAATCAAGAAGAAAACTAAATCAAGAGAGCAGTTAGTTAGCTCCTGATGATATGCAGAAGGCATGGAAGTCTTCCATTTTACTTTTCTTATTTACAAGGTAGAGTCACTGAACAACTGGAGAACTGGAGATATTAGGAAAAGATCAGCACCTTGGAAGAAAACCCTGAGGCACTGGGGAGAAAAGTTTTTTGGCTGCTGAAAAAAACCATGAGTTCCTTCAATGTAAGTATGTTTTTAGCTCCTGTCTACAGAAACCAAACTGGAGGAAAGTACTCTTAAAAGTCACCATTCTGCCTCTTCTAAGGGTAAGGGACTAAAGCAGGATCCGTACCCTAAAAGAATACAGTCTCATTATAAAAGCAGCTTCACTGAATAATGGGATTTCGCGTTGTGGAGAACAGTTCTGTGGGAGTGAACTATTAAAATACAAACCAGAAAGAACATTGTATTTCTTCCCCTGAAACAACACTTCAGCAAAACGTGCTGATGCTACTGAAATTTCTGTGATGAAAAAAATGAAGTTTGCAAAATTTCATTAGACAGCAGACGACTCCAACTTGTTTTTGAATGCATCATCTTACAAGAAGACCACAACAGACACTCTTTGAAGAAAAAAAAATCTCCCTTCTTTACAACAAATAATCACAAATCTTCATTAAGATGTGCAAGGCTGGCTAAGCAAAATTCTTCCAAACAGATGAAAATCCACCACCAGCTGCACTGCAGTGCTAACCCACAGTTTTGTACTGTACTGGTGCCACTTGCTGACTACTCTGAGGCAGTAGAATGATTTATGAATATGGGTAAAGCAGAGTTAGATTTTATTCTCATCGTGCAATAGAGCAATACTTCTACTATACTGAAGAACCACCTCATAAAAGATGGTTACAAGGCATTAACGTCAGAAATGCTTTTAAATGCCAGAGGTATGAATGAAGTCCAGGCTGTTACAGCATCCCATCAAAACAGAAGGATTCCTTTCAAATGAATAAACTGAAATTTAAAAAAGTTATTGATCAGTAGAGTTTTCCTTATGATGACTGACTGAAAGTTATTTGCCCCATCAGGTCAAACTGTCACCCAGAATATGGAATCTGCCTTCTGATGTCTGGCACTTCAGTCGATACCTGGGGCACAACACAGAATTGCCTGGGAGGAACAGACAGAAATTCTGCCTTAGCTTATCTGACCTTATAAAACTGTCTACAAAATGGCGCAACTGATCATATTCAAAAACTCTGCCTTGGAACCAAAGGTGTCTATAACAATATATTCTCTCTTAAGGCTTTTAAAGAACTGATGATTTGGGAGTCATACTCAAAAAGCTTGCTAGGAGATAAGAACTCCCTCCATGTTAGGCCAGAATGTAATGCAAATTAATTTAACGGCACCATTTTTATTTTCATACATGCACTAAATTTTGTAAAGGTGTATTTAGAATTTCCTGTGTTCAACAATGCTATAAACATTAGTAATTACCAGTTCATATTTTGCAGCAGTAACTTCAATTTTCTCCTAATTACAACACAAAATGAAGAAAAAAAAAATTATCATGATCTCTCTCATATTTCATGTTCCCAACAAAAAGAAAACAAAGCTGCCTTTAGCAGAAATTCCTTTTAACATGCTGCAATTGCAGAGTATATCCACTGCAGCTCATACTCTAATTTAGCATCCATATAATGGTGAATGCTGCTACTAAAACCAGCGACCAGCAACAGAACAACCTGATGACTTTGTCATGGAAAGCACAGAAGAACAACTATCTTGCCCACCACTGCTTCTGAAATTGTATTGTAATAAATACAAGAGGTTACACATTTCTAAATACGTTTTTTTCCTCCTTTTACCAAAGCCCACACATTTGCAAGTAGTAAACACAGCCCTGAACAAAAATATACTTTGACCATAACAAAAGTATGCAACTGTAATTCGCAAAGGCTCACAGATCAAATATACTTTGTGCTCTCCGATCAAAATGCCATCTTCATAAACAAAACATTACCACCACACATAATTTCTACTTGAAAATCTGTCCTAGCTGCCACTGAAACTGCATTCTCATATCTAAAACTATGCAGCCTCATTTTGAAATCTCCTATTTAAAACATCAGTTTCTGTATTATCTTTGACTGAGAACTAAAAACAATAACATTATTTTAATTGTCAAAAGAAAATCTATCCTTCCAAGTACAAATTATTGCATGAAGTGACAACACAAAAAGATGTGTGTACCTCAAACATGATGGAAAATTTTACTAGCAGGTCCTCTCCATCTACTGAACTTTTACAGTGCCTTAAAGATGTGGGGAGTATAATTATTGCAGTTCATAGTGTTGCTTCAATTTCTTCACATTCTTAGTGTACTTTAGACACAGTCACTCATAATATACATCTTTAAGGTCAAGACACTTCAGGATAAAAACAATTTTTTAATTTCAGGAGTACATCTCCCTCACGTAAACCTTGTGATACTGTTATAAATAGGGACTGGGGTGACCACAGGCACAGCTGAGGTGCTGCACAGAAATTCACACAGTAAAAACCAGTTGGTTATCTTTCTCTGTCTTCCTACACATACACACAGGCATGCACATTTTCAAACTCCCATTGAGTCTGCTGATTTTTTCAGGAATGAATCTGTAGGGGGAGGATTCAATTGCTTATTGTGCAGCACCACGAACACCCACAATACAATCAGTACCACCACTCAGGAGAAATCAGAGATCTCAGAATCTTTTAGGAACAAGAATTGAGAACGGGACTCATCTCTTTAACTGATTTTCACTATGCAAACAAGTAATCAGTTAAATCCCAGACTACACACTATTAGGCTGCGTTAGCATCTCTAATATGAGTGGTTCAAGTGTTTCTCTTAAGAGAAACAACAGATGAACTTGATTCTTCTGTTCTTGTGTAAGAGAAGTTGCTTTACTACATATAGCGTCCAGAGACATAATTAACCAAATCTTCTTACCGCCTGTCTCTTAGAATGAAATGACCACGTAAGGTCTTTAGCAAGCAACAAATCCTGGGGAATTAAGTCTTGGACTCAACGCATTAGAAATAGAACAGCTTGCTTTCCCACTGCCCGTGTTCAATGAATTTCTACTCACCCTCTGAGTGATGGATTTTCCCTCTTTGACTTGCACTGCCAATCCAAGATCAGACAGTCTGCAGTTTCCGTTATCATCCAGGAGGACGTTTTCCGGTTTCATGTCCCGGTAAATGATCTTGATGGAATGAAGATGCAGAATCCCACAGGTGATCTGAGCTGAGTAATAAATGACCCTGTTCAATTCTAAACCCCTTTGTCCTACATTGTAGATGTGATATTTCAGATCACCTCCATTCATGAGGCTCATGACAAGACACAGATGAGTTTTGCTCTCATAGGCATAAGCTAATGTGACTATGAAAGGGCTGTTGACTTTCTCCAGGATTTCTTTCTCCAGTAGCGCCATCTTCTCTCCACTTTTCTTTTTCAGTCTTTTCTTATCTAGTTTTTTGCAGGCATACATCTTGCCAGTATTTTTCACCTGAATGGCACAAACCTGGAAACAAGATGCACATGGAAAAGTAAAGAAGCAATGCTACAAGTACAGATTGGAACATCAAGACCAGTAATAGGCAGGAACTGAGGAATCACAGATGCCTATGAGTAGGTACTGGTGGTAACTTGCATGGGTGGGTATATTAGCAGAGGAAGTAAGGAAAAAGCAAGCATACAATCTGTTCTATTCAGAACTAGTATACAACTGTGGAAAGATCTGAGGACTCCAACAACAGAACTGTATGATTCATTAAAACAAAGAAGAATTCATTCTCTGACCATCACAATAAGCAGTAAGTACAGTTTGCATCTCTTTTCCCTCTCAGAATCTTCAAATCTTATTCAGAATTTTTTGGAAACGGAACTTGACCTGTGATATTCTTTAAATTGTACCTAAGAATTATCTGCAAGTATACAAATTAGCACAGGCCAAAACAGTGCCAAGAAAAAGACTAATGATTAACCGTATAGACAGTCACGTCAGCTTTCGTATAGAAGCCTGCATCTTGAGTAATACAGATGCAGAATACAAAATTTTTAGGGCAGCTCTTCAATAACAGGCTTCTGGAGTCAATATGAGAGCACGGATAAAGTGAATTTCTGAGAAATGGACAACCTGGAGGCTGAAGTTCTGCAAAACTTCTGAATGTGTTTAAAATCATTACCAAGTTCATCTTTCAAACCCACTTGCTGATCTCAGAAGGGGAGAGATGACCCACTTTTGTAAAGGTACAGCTCTTACCTCTCCGAAGCCACCTTTGCCCAGCACTCGGAACTCATAGAAGTATTTCTCAGTTACTGGCTGCTTTTCAAAAACTTTCCATTGGAGGAATTTGTCATAGAAGGGGCTAGTCTGGAAGTCCTGGAAGGGCTTGCCTTGAAGGAAGAGTTTGGTTTCATCTCTAGCCAGCTGTATAACACTCTCATAGTCCTTCTGAGTGGCTGCCTGGCATTTGCTGACCAAGTCAGAGCTCATGAAAGACAAATAATTTTTGGAGCCTGTCTTAAGAAAGTTGGTGATAATATTCTCCATGGTACTGCTCTTGATGTTGTCCTCTGCCAACTCCCAGTTTGACACCTCATCCAAGAAATCCCTAGCTACCAAATTTTCTGGAACTGTCTCTAAGAAGTCTCTGAAGAATCTCTTGCCAATGGGCTGCTGTTCACAGATGCTCTCGTAGTCAGCAGCAATGGACTGCCTAACCTCTCCACACTGATCAATCTTGGGCAGTGAGAGGCTCTTACGTCTCTTCTGCATCTCCTTGGTATCTCCTTCTCCACTCTTCCTGGCCTGCAGATAGGCTGTGTTGGCAATCAGGTTGTCGAGCCCCCCCATGTCACACATCTTGGCAAGCTCTTGGGGTGGCAGAGCCTGGCTAGACAAAATCAGTAACTGGCCCAAGAGCTGAGCTGCGACTGCCCTGCACTCCTTCCTGCTAGTGGCGCGTGCACGTTTCTCAAATGCACCAGAGAGACTAACTGCTTTTGCATTAAATACCTCTCAAGGATTTTCACTAAGTACCTTTGGGTACATGCACCATTTGTGGAAAGTGACTGGTAAGAGGTTTCTCTGTAAGGAGCTTGAGTTTGCTATCTATAGCTGAAGGATGACACCCTACACAGACCTCACTGGCAGCACCAAACAGACTCAGTTCAGCTGCTGTTTCTCAGAATGGACCCTGATAACTTCAGATGTTAGGCCACAATCCCCTCCGTAGGCAGATGCTGGCTGCTGAGAACATGCAATGATTGCCATCTGTAACATAAACAGCACAGTCCAAACCCAGCAGCACACCAGCCACAGTTAAGAGAAGCCTCTTGCCACCCTTGCTCTTGACATACTGAATGCTATCAGTCCCTGAGCTTCTCATTTTCATACCACTCAGAGCTCTGAGCTGCCTCACTTCCAAATTCAAGTTACTCATCAGCAACAACTCTGAGCTCCATAGATATTCCTGCAGACCTTGATGCCTCATGCCACTCCATCTGAAGGAACAGAAAGCGGATTACACGCAGAGGCTCAGATCTGCCGCTGCTCTAAAAATAATGATCCCTACATATGAAGCAGCATGGAGTTGTGAGCTCATTTCCTACCCACAAAAATAGGAAAAACACACTTCAAATGACTGGCCAAATGTTGCCAAGACATTCCATATGATACTGTGGCCTCTCTTTACTTTCCTGCTGAGCTTCTCTTATGATGACAAGTGGCAGGATGACAAGGAGACAAGGTGGCAGTAGTGCATGTCTGAGGCAGCATCAACAAAAGCACAAAGCTAATTATAACCAAGTGAAGCCAAAATCCACTGGACTACACTCACTGGGCTACCCACCAGGAAGTCTGTGCCCCATCTTTATCTGAAAGAAAAAGTTCCTGTATGGCATCTGTTAGGTCCTCTTCTGCTGTGGAGTCTTGTGATTTGGCCTCTGAAAACAGTTTTTAGACATAAGTATTACAGGTGAAGTAGTTCCGTGATTTTTCCAGTAAAACTGGGGAGAAACTACTCAAAGAGAGTTTCCTTTTCTTCTTTTTTTTTCCACTTTTGTAATTGGAGAAAGTTGAAGGGTTGAATCCCAGATGCTTAACATCAAGTAACAACAAGCACTTCTCAAAATCCTTACAAAAACTGGTAAGCCCCTCTTGGCTGCTTTCAGTCACTCTACTATCATAAGTATAAATTTGCTTTTATCTACTTAATCCTGTCTGCGTTGAATCCATTTGACATGTAACTCACGCTTATTCTCTACAAAATGACATTACAGAAGTGAGTGCTTTCCTATTTGTGATTGAAAGAATCATCCATTGCAAACTGCACGTGTGAGAAAGCTGTGTACTCCACAGCAGAGTGTTCGACACCCTTGCCTGCTTCGCATGTCTAATTCTGCCAGCTGTATGCGTGCATGGGGCAGGAGCAGGTTACATAAAGGGCTGAATGATGCAACTAACAGAGTAAGGAAGACTAAAAAAATTAGAGGAAATAATCAATAATCAAATTCAGTGAGCGATTGTTCTGAAAAAGGTGTCCCCAGCAACACGTTTGTAATGGCCTCAGAACCAAAAAGAAAGGAGGTTAAAAAAAAAAACAACCCCTAATTTCACGTCCTAAACTTCAGCAGAGTCTTTAGCAAAATGCCCAAACTCAGGTAAGTTGTATGACTGGCTGGTAACAGCCTACACCACCATGTGATTGATGACATCAAAGCAAACAAGAAAACACACAATGTTTATGCTATCTGCACAAGAAAGGCACATTTACAGCTTCAAAAAGAATTCTGCTCTATTAATTAGAATCTTTCTTGATTTCTATAGAACGTATGCTGCAACAACATACAATGCTCCTGTAAACAAGGTCACTTAAAAAAAAATCCAAGTGAAGCAATATCATCTTCACACGTATTTGTTATTCCAGTCACTTCTGAGAAGACTCCTGCTAGATTTGCTGAAATTGTCCAAATCTACCCAGCATTTATTAAACAGAGGAGAACAACATTAAGGAGATTCTTCTGCAGTTATGATTCTCAGCTCTTAGTGACACGTATGTGACATGAGAACAGAAAGCAGGGTGAAAATTACTCTGCTGTTGTCCATATAGACCCATAAACCCAAGTAAAATAAAGGAAAAACTTCTCTGGTGGGATTAGAAAAAAAAAGTGAAGACATTTTAGCAGATGGAACCTGTGACCAAATTCTGGCAGAGAAAAATAAGTAGTAAATGATTACCGTATGTAAGAAGGAATTATCTTAGGAAGAATGTCTTCAGAGAAATAGAAAAGATGAAGACCAAACACTCCACAACAACCCAAATGCTGTAGGCACTTCATTACTACTGTTACTTAAATGTTAAGAAAGACATCTCCTGAGATGGTAACAATGAGTGTGATACACTGACAGTAACACAAAAGCCATATTTAAAACATAAAAAAACATTTTAAAAACAAGATTACAACCACTAAACAAAACCCCAATAAACTCTGCATGGAAGCGTGATGACAAAAATCAAAGACTGCCATTGGTAGCACTTTATGCAATGGAGATCATTCTCTTTAAATATACTTAAACAGAACTAAATAGAAACACACCTACTGAAAAGTGAATTAATCTTAAATATTATTAATCAATCTCAATTTAAGTAAAAAAGAACATTCATTTAATATCACTTCAATTCCACCCGAGTTTATTAACGATTTTATTAAGTCTGAAATCGTTACAGACTTAGTAACTCAATCTCTCTGTTGCACACATATATTTAAAAAACCAACAAAACATATGTTCAGATTAATAGTAATTACTTCAGATATTGAGAGTAAAGCACTTCAGTACACACACGAAAAATCACAGGTCTGATCCTATTAAAAAAAATGATATATTGAGGATTTCCACAGCAGTGAAACAATACTTTCTCTTACATCCCAAACCAAACATGTAATCCAATAAAATGACAATGAAGAAATTTCTGTACATGAATTCTGATGAAAGCACAATTTAACATTATTTTCCTAGATTTAATTGGTACCTGCTTTCCTCGGGACATTAAAATGGTTGTGTTTGTTTTCCATATCAGACAGCTAACCAGCAACACAGTTTACACCACAACTAAATTGATATCCAATGTGCGTCTTCGTACCAAAAATTTCTGGATTCAAAGTACTTGTGTCCATGAACTTTAAAAGAAACATGAATTTAAATCATAGATGTGGTTAAATTTTAGTAAGCATGAATGCAGAAAACGTGTAGAATATTAACAGCAACAGACTTCAGAGATGCAACTAATTTTCTTAAGCCATAAAGAAAGCCTACATGAGAATGCTAGTGTTGCCCACACACTGCTCATTTTAGATTAAAAAACAAAATACTTGCTAAAACACTTAACGTGTTTTTGTATACAGTATTATTTAGACAACGATGTATTTATCCAAAACCAAAATAATTTATCAGACACCAAATTATACAGCACATCAGATTTAATAAAAGGTCTCCTTTTCAAATTGACTCATTGCTCTAAGTAGAAACATTACATGAACTGTATTTGGTGTATAATCTGCACCACCACATTTCTATGCTCTTGATATAGTTAACACTCAAATCTTAGCAGACACATTTATTAATGCAGTGCCTCTCTTTCCTCAGTTGTGGAAATATCTGCAATAAGACTCACCACTGCCTCCCAGTACAGCAAAGAGCACACAGCAAAACCACACTGTTCCCTGCAGCAAATAAGCTGAACACATCATGCCACGACTGAGACGTTCCACTCTTCTGTATGAGCATGTGGCATAAAATATACACAACTCCAACAAGTCCAACAGAAAACTTCGGGTGTTTTCATTTGCCTATTCTCTGGACTACCCAGTCCTGCTGGCAGAGGGGACAACGATTATTCTGTTTCACCCACAACGACATGCAGCAATTGTGGAAGGAATGATTGCATTCTCCCCAAACCACTGAAAGAGAAGAAAGAACACGTTCTAGTCATGCTCAGCTGTCCAGAGATCAACACTCACAGCAAGGTCCAAGCTATTTTTCTCAGATGTTTAAGACCACTGCAAACTTATAATACCTTTAAAAAGACAAAATGTGTCATCACTGGATGATTGCAGTCATCCTGGCAACACTTCTCAGTTCTCTGTCACACAGCCTCTCACATGTGTATTCTCACTGTCCTGCATAACGTGTCTGGAACAGATCTGAGTAGCAATTCTGCTCTGGGTAAGCACTTCATTTTGACTGTCACGTTTGAAAAGATCACCAATACACTACTGGTACTGTCTTACTATCATACAAGAGAATGCTACCAAATCTGAAATGCTGCATTTAAACTGCAAAATCAAGGAGGAGCATTTGACACTGCACAGAGCCTCAAAACAGCTACACTGGCAAAATAAATCAGTTGTTGTTCACGGGCTACAGTGTCTTCAATGCAACAAAATGGTTATGTACTGCCCATGTACTCATAAATATTAGTTGCTCTGTTTTTTCCCTTACTACCTCACATTTTCCTTAATGAAATATAAGAGTACCAACCAAAGGAGCGCTGTAATTTATGTGTTGTTTTCCCCTATTTTAAACAGGACACTTAGGAAGACACTTAGCAAGACATCTGAAACAGGAAATTCTTGTTCTGGTTAAAACAATCATCAGAAACAACAGTGAATTAACTTTGAGACAATACACTTCAAAGCAGAAAGAACAAGGGCATGGAAGGCTTTACCACCAGCTCAGGAGTTGACTTAAAGATCTAAAGAAAACATGAGACAATTTTCACTCTTTCCGATTTAAATATATCGGAATTGAGATACAATTTGCTTTTGCATATGCTGGCAACCAGTGTAAAGTATGTTCATGATTAAACAGCATTATAGCAAACTCCAGTGATTACGTTTTTTCAAATTAAAACTGAAAAAAAAAAACAAGCAATAGTGTCTGAATCAACACTGAGAAAAATATCACCTTTAAAACAGTCAAGAATTGATTTGAGAATAGAATTCTCTGGATATTACATTGCCCCCTCTGGCACTTCCCAGAAGGAAAAAGGAGCCATTCCTTTGCCCACTTCAAAGGCATTTATCCTCTATTCAGTTACAGCCAGGATGAGAACCCAAACCTCATGGCTGTGTGTACATTGACACTGAAACGTGAAAGCGTCCTGCTCCACACAGCATGCCTGGCACTAACACTAATTTAGTAGAGCTCAAAAAATCAACTGTAAAATATTACTAACGTAAAGAGATGACACTGTATAACAAAACAGCACTTTGATTCTGAGCATTAACAAACTCAGTATTCCCTTCAAACATGGAAATGCACCCTATTGAGAGAGGCTTCAATTTAAAAACAAGCGAATGAAATCACTACATACCAACACAATCTTCTTGTTTGTTTTCAGCTTGACATCTAAGGCAGGCATCTAAAAGTAAACAAGAACAAGACTCAATCTGATGCTCAAGATTCCATCTTAAGAATATGCTTGACAGAGGAAAAAATTTAACTTTAAAATCAATTTCAAAAGATAAAAATCTCTAATTGTGTCATCTACTTCAGCCTTTGAACATTAAATAACAACTCCCCCCAAATTTCAAACAGTGAATGAGGATGACATATCCATCTGAAAGAGATCAGAAGGACTCTAAGCTGCCCAACAAGTTCTATTGCCCATATTTTCTCAACTTCTGCTGAAAAAAAGCCTTCTCCATTTTGCAGATACAGCAGGTCTGTGCCAAGGCACTCAGGCACATTAAGAGCAGAGCGAGCACACAGCCAAACCCTAATTACAGGACTTTGTTTTTCAGATGTCAGCAGCTCCTTTTAAGGAAATCATTCACAATTTTCATTTCTTTGGCCTCTACATTTCTCTTCACAACTGCTACCCACTTCCTGCAACCATTCTTTTATACACTACTTTTACTTATGGGAACCTGCATGTAATTTTCAGAGTCACACACAAACATGTTTTTAAGCACTGGTCAATTCGATAATATAACTCAAGAGATAATCATGGATTTTAATATATAAGTATTTTTTAATATTGCACACATATAGAGCAGAAGAATGGCTTTGTTTCTCCTTTGCACCAACACAAAGTGCCTCAGACACGCAAGCACATACTATGCACAACAGAAAGCATTCAGTTACTATGGCAGCATACGCAGTGGAAACCCCTCTTGGTTTCCTCCAAAAAGAAGGTAACAGTTAACAAGTGCCCCGCAGGTTGGACTTGACCTGCAGGTCACCAGCTAGATCACGTTTCCCTAGAAGACAAAAATACAGCATGCTACAGGAATTTTGAGTATTTCTGCCAGATATTGCAAGTAGTTCTATTTTAGATTAACCTGTCCTCTTTTTCTCACCTAACACAGAACAAAGAGCACAGAAACCCTGAAGCAGCTGCCCTTTCCTCACTTAGATGAAAGTAAAGTGGCAAACAAAGCTTCCCGATGCCTGTTCCTGTAGTTTTAACTTCCACAGGACTAAGGGCCATGCAGGAAATATTCAGACGCTACTCCACTGTATGTGGAAGCAATTTGATCTGGAGTCACCCAATATGCAGGGCAGTCAGCTGGGGGGACTGGCAGCCACTCAGAAAACAGCTTTCCTATCCCAGACCTAGCTCTGCACTTTCAAAGAGACAGGACACAAAACAGCAACCTCAACGTAAGCTGCCCCCAATCCTGCACTGCAGTTCTGAGGGTGCCAGCTTAACAAAATTTAGTTTGCTTACATCAGTTCAAGGAGTTAAACCAGCAGCAAATGATGCTGGCTAATAGTTCCCTCCCTTCCACAATCAAATACACTGACTTCAAACATGCAGAGCCAGCATAGGCCTGGCACTGCCCGCAGCCAAAGGAGGCTGTGCTGCAGCAGCTCTGCAGGAGCCAGGCCAGGTCTGGCAGAGGCAGCGCCGAACTGCTGAACCCTGGTCAGTAATGATCAAATTTCACATTCCAGCAGGAACGGTTACCAGAATTTTCTCTTACTTTCAGATGAAAAGCAGTCCCACGGCCTAATAAATAAAAAAAAATGTAAATGATTTTTTTTTTTAAATCAAATGTGTGGGTAACAGTTGGACATGCTTTTTGTTTTTAACTACGCCTCAGAAGAGAAACGTGTTCTTAAAATTATTGCTTACTCATAGAACATTAAGCCAGTTTCCTTTTCCCACAGCAGTCTCTGCTCACTGTGCAAACACAGAAGGCTGATCTCTGAGGTGTGCTCTGAGCAGCACAACAGCAACAGAACGGATGCGGGTATAACAGAGGAACTTGAAGGATTCTCAGACACCGCACACGTCAGAAAGCACTAATGCCAGTCACTGACTAGGCTGCTTTTCAAAACCGCTTTAAAATCGGGTGAGCTAAACCCCCATTTTCCCAATAAATCTTTCAGTGTGTTCACGTGGGCTGAACTGCAGTAGAAATTAGAGCGTCGTACTAAGGTAAGCAAAAACTACTTTTCCTATACGCCCACAGCACCGCTCCAAAACAAGCGCGGGCGGCAGAACTGCAGCCCCGGCACGTCCGCCAGCCGCGCCCGCCCGCCACCCGCACGCAGCCCTCACAGCCCGCACGG